ATACCCTTAAGTTAGGGCAGTCTAGCTTTACGCTTCATGTCGTCAGTTCAAGCAGAAGCCAGGCGTACCCTTAAGTTAGGGCGGTCTGGTCGTATGCTTTATGACTAGAGTTTATCTGGAGTTGGGCATACCCTTAAGTTAGGGCAGTCCAGTTGTGCGTACCTTTACTTGTTTACTTAGGCAGGTTGGACATACCCTTAAGTTAGGGCCTTGTCTGATCCTATGCCATAAGTGAGGGGGATATTGAAAGGGAACAACTGAGTGATCTAACGAACTACCTGGGCAAATGTATGTGGGTTGTGAGAGATGCATGCTCATGTATGATTGTAGGCTCTCACTTGGGTGTCCTTCGATAGGGTAGTTGGTGTAAATGCTCGCCAAGTGTTGGAGCCATAGGTAGACTAGATGGATGATGGGAGGGAAACTTGGGGTGAAGGTAGGACTGACCCTGCTGGGAGTTAGGCCCAGTGCTAGCCCACAGCCTCAGCTAGAGGTTGTGTTGGCTGTCATTGAGTCTGAATCATCAAACAGATGTGAGAAGTTAGTCCCAAGTATAGTTGTTGTGTCTTTTTGCTTTTTCAGCTTCGTATAAATCTTGGCAGCCTCCTGTTCCTAAGGGAAGCGCTGCCGAAATTTCTACAAATCTGGAGGAGTTAGTCATTTTTGGGCTCATAAAATTTCTAAAAAGGCACTTTTCCTACGGGAAGCGCTGCCGAAATTTCGTAGATTTTAGGGAGTTAGAATAATTTCCAGTCAGGAGTTACTTAGCAGATCCATTCTGATTAGAGGAGATACTTGGTGACGTGGTACTAGTAGAGGAGCTAGGATACGACTAGGGGGATTGTTCTCCCCTTGGCACAGGTATAAGTAGTATTTTCCTTTGGCCTGTACTGTGATGCAGGTTTCCGTGTTGTCATTCGGAGGCTTGATCTGATCAGCCTATTCCTTCAAAAGGATCATTCTTCTGTTATCACTGATAACAGGTCGGTTGCCGACTCATCGGTTTACGACTCAACCCCAATTCACCCTCAATACTCAACCTAAAAAGGCTTTGGCCCTGGTGATTTTATTGTTTTGTTGAGGTTTCACCCAGACTTTTATTGAATGGCCATTTAACAAAAGTACTGAGTACTTACTTATGGTTGGTTGGCTGGAGGTTGGGGCTTGCATGGCTGAAGCACAGGGTATGAGTGGAGAGGTTGGTTGGAGTTGACCCCGTGTAGCGTGTGGATTTTTGCTTGATTCTGTGATGTGATTGCAGGTATGTATGGAAGAGTATCATCTGAGTTATGTTGAGTGATCGTGTTTTGGATTCAGATGGGCAACCCACATAACTGTCGTGAGAGTGGACTACCCCACAACCTTTGTGCTTGAGTGAGACTGATTTGTACCTGTTTTGATGAAGTAAGCGTATATTCGGGTAACCCCCACAGGGCTAATCCCGACGGTGTCCTTTCTGTTGCTGTTGAGAACAATTGTTTTTTTTTATTATTATTTATTTATCCTTGTTGAAAATTATTTTGGTGGAACGGTAAGGTTCCGGGCAGAAGGGTTAGCGTGTCGCTGGTGATGCGCCAGACAACTCACCACCGCTCCAAATTCCTTCCTGCCCTAGGGGCCGTCTTACCCCGCACTCTTTGGGACACCTCAGGGTGCAGAAGACGGAAAGGCCCTCAGGCCGGTTTGGCGCCCACTAAAAGGGTACGCCCCCCCTTAGCGCGCGCTTCATCCAATGCCTGAGCGTCGGGAGCCACCCCATAGCCCAGAATAGGCCATTCGGGTATGGGCACCACATAATGCGCCGTCATCGCTTTTATCTGCGTAGGACTGCATTACAAATCGGTATGCGTGGGTCCTACGTTCACGCGCTCTTATACTAAACCTCGCGCAAGGCAGTTACTGACTTCCACTGCGTAGAGTTATGGGTCGGATACTGAAGGGATTAGGAGTGTTGTCGTGTTGTGGTGTTATTTGTGGAGATTGTTGTGTGTGTGTCCGTATGTTACGCGTGGGTAGGCGTGGGTGTTGTAGTGTAACGCGTGGGTGTGTAGTGCATCCTAGTCGACCGGCGCCGAATCGTGTCTGGGACCTCAGCCCCCCAGTATGACGACTCGCGTACGGGTTCGATTTCGGGCATTCGACCGCGCGTACCCCCTATGCTACAGCGAACGAGAAACGCCCTCGGCTGGGCCACCTCTGCAATTGCATAAGAAAAGCTTTCGCATGTGGTTCAGTAGCTCGGCAGGGATACGCCCACCTAAGGGATGGTGACATCTCCCGCAGGTGGAGGTAGCGGTGCCTCGCGTGACTCTGTCCTGTCGTAGGGGCTCGCGAGAGGTACGGCTGGCGCACTCGGCCGGAGCGGCAAACGCTCTCCGCGACAAGTCCTGCATAATCCTGCGTGACGCGGCCGGGAGGGTCCTCGTGTGGGACCGATGCGCTCGACACCGTGCTTTGTCTTTCATTGCTGTTCATCGTCTTCGCTCTTTGGTGCTCTCCTTGGTGCTCACTGTTCTCTCTTTCTCTCTCTCTCTCTCTCTCTCTCTC